GATCCCCTAACAGACTAACAGCAGACTTCTCAACAGAAAATCTACAGGTCAGAAGAAAATGGGATATATTCAAAATACTAAAAGAAACAAACTGCCAGCCAAGAATATCACACCCAGCAAGGCTATCCTTCAGAAATGAGGGAGAAATAGTATATTTCCCAGACAAACAAAAACTGTGAGAGTTCAACACCACACACTAGCCCCCCAAGAAATCCTCAAGGGAGTCCTGCATCAGGAATCCAAAAAACCATAATCGCTCATCTTACTAGCTATAGTTCTGTTCAAACTCTGTTTTTTCATAATTCAGTCTTTGTAGGTGGTATGTTTCTAGGAATTTATTAATTTCATCTAGATCTACAATTACTCATAGTATTCTCTTACCACCCTTTTGATTTCTGTAAATTTGGCTGTAATGACTGCTCTTTTATTTCTGATTTTAGTTATTTAAATCTCTCTTTTTTCTTAGTCCATCTAAGTAAAGGTTTGCCAATTCTGTGGATCTCGTCAAAGTACCAATTTTTGGTTTCATTGATTTTTCTCTATTTTTTTTTCTATTTCTATTTCTTTTATCTGTGCTCAATTTTTAGAAAGAAACAGTCAGGCCGGCCCCGCGGAGCACTGGGAGAGTGCGGTGCTGGGAGAGCAGCGATGCTCCCGCAGCGGGTTCGGATCCTATATAGGACTGGCCAGTGCGCTCACTGGCTGAGCGCGGTGCAGGCAACACCAAGCCAAGGGTTGCGATCCCCTTACTGGTCCCGAAAAAAAAAAAAAAAAAAAAAAAAGAAAGAAAGAAAGAAAGAAACAGTCATGAAGACTAGCAGAGAAAGAAGAAAAAATTATTCACGCACAAGGATGAAAGAAAGCAGACAGAATGCTAATCAAGAGGGAGGAAGCAAAGCTGTAGCAATGCATGTGCCTTTTTCTCATAAGCAAAAGCGGAGGTCACAGGTATTTTACCTCCCTCTGTAGCTAGTAAGCAGTCCCCCACCCTCCCATCCGTGGTTTCATTACCCACAGTCAACCGCGGCCTTAAACTATGACGTGGAAAATCCCAGAGACAACTCCTGAGTTTTGAGTCACACGCTCTTCTGGGCAGCGGGACGAAATCCTGCAGCAGCCGCTGTCCCGCCCGCAGTGACTCCTCCCTTCGCCTCAGATCCGCGCTGCAGACGCCCCTGCCCCTTAGTCACTTAGTTGCCATTTGGGTTACCTGTCCCTGACCTACTGCCATAGGTTGACTTGTGTGTCCCCATAATTCATATGTTGAAATCCTAATACTTTATTTGAAAATAGGGTCATTGCAGATATAATTAGTTAAGATGAGGTCATTAGTGTGGCCTCTAATCCTTAAATGATTGGTGTCCTCGTAGAAAGGGGAAATTGGAACACAGACGTGCACACAGGGAAAACACCATATGCAGATGAAGGGAGAGGCTAGAGTGATGCTTCTGCAAGACGAAGAACAGCACAGATTGTCAGCAAACTACCAGGAGTTAGGAAGAGGCACGAAACGGATTCTCACTGAGAGCCCTCAAAAGAACCAACCCCGCCAACAACTTGATCTTGAACTTCTAGCCTCTGGAACTGTGAGGCAATACATTTTTGTTGTTTCAGCCATCCCATTTGTGGTACTTTGTTACAGCAGCCTTCAAAAACAAACAAACCTACTAAACAGAATCTATTTTAACAACGTTTCCCAGGTGACCATTTCCCTATTAAAGTGTGGGAAGCACTGGTAAGAGCAAACACAATCGCCTTGTCTACCTCATAAAGCAAGAGAGGAGGAAAGGAGGAAGGAAGAGAGGAAAGAGAAAGGAGGGAAGAAGGAGGGAAAGCCCTAAAGACATGAAAGAGATCAGACGCATCACTTAGAAGAGCATTTTTGGAGAAAAATCAACTTTAACTGTGGACTATAAACCTTCCTATTATGTTTGCCGAACTATCCGTTAAAGATCGATTACTTGTTTTATATTAACTTGGTGTCTAAAGCCCAATTGTTGGGGGGCAGAAGCAGAGGAGGGAGCATTAGTTACTCAAATAATGTCACTCTGGTAAAAAGATTTCTGAATTAAGTCCAGTGTGGAAAACATGTTGATTTAAATCCCAAGTAAAACTTTCTTCCAAAGTACACCCACAAATTTATATGGGGACAAATCAACATATTTTTAACATCTCTCAAAGCTGTCTCTCCTATCTGAATCACATGATCATTTCTGCCATGGCCTAAGTAGTTAGTGGACATGGCAGGTTGGTTTAAGCCCTATAATGAAACGGTCTGACCAGGTGGTAACATCAGTGGAGCATTGTAGGAAGAGCACCCAGTCAGGGTACAGCTGCGAGAAGACTTTGGAAATGGTCCTGGTCTGTCCCTTCCTCTCTCAAGAAGGGTCAGGAGTGGGAATAAGGCTTACAGTTTTAGGGAATTTTAAACCTACAATTTCCTTGATTTTTCTCCAGAAACTAAACATTTCTAATTGAAGTTCTAATCTGTGGGGAAATACCGTTTAAAAGATTTTGGGGATGTTGAAGTTGAGAAAAAGGGAGATCAATTCATTTGGTGGAAAATGTTGCCAACACAGAGTGAATATAAATGACTAGAAAACATATGCAAAAAATGTTCACCTTCCTGCTAATTAAAAAGTGCAAGACAAAACAATGTAATTTTTTTCTACTGAATCAGCAAAGTTTAAAAATGACAATACTACGTGATAAGTTAGTCACTTCCATCGTTATCTGTTCCCTTACTAATTTTCCTTACTTTTCTTTATGGTGCTTTATCACCAGGCATACTACATACTCACCTATTGATCATCAGTCTCCCCACTAGAATTTCAGCCCTGGGAGAGAAGGGGCTTTGTAAGGTTTGTCTACTGCCTTGTCCTAGCACAGTGGCTTGATGCATAGTTGCCACTCAATTACTCTTTGTTGAATAAGTTAATTAATTAAGAAAGAGAAAGAACTGGAAACAGCATAATGCTGAGAGTGGACGAGTGGTGGGATGAGCTCTGAGATATGTTAAGTAGCAACAGCAGGGACAGAACATGGTACACTGTGCCTCATTTTTCTCTCTATAGTTTCAGAATTTTTACAATGAGCATACAATTTTTATCATCAGGAAAAAATAACGTAAATGTTGTTAGCATATTCACATGATGGGCTTACACAGGGGATTATGATCTGCATTGCTTAGATGAAATACCTCTTATCCCATTCTGAAGGTGACCTCCTTACATCCTGCCATCCACATCTGGATAAGTCACACCGTGCTACTCTCAGGCACAGTAGCTCAAGGCTTGCTCCCCCAAAAGTGTGATACCTGAACCAGCAGCATCAGCATCACCTGGAAGCTCACTAGAAATGCAGACTCTCAGGCCCCACCTGTCCCTGACCTACTGCCATAGGTTGACTTGTGTGTCCCCATAATTCATATGTTGAAATCCTAATACTTTATTTGAAAATAGGATCATTGCAGATATAATTAGTTAAGATGAGGTCACTAGTGTGGCCTCTAATCCTTAAATGATTGGTGTCCTCGTAGAAAGGGGAAATTGGAACACAGACATGCACAAAGGGAAAACACCATATGCAAATGAAGGGAGAGGCTAGAGTGATGCTTCTGCAAGACGAAGAACAGCACAGATTGTCAGCAAACTACCAGGAGTTAGGAAGAGGCACGAAACGGATTCTCACTGAGAGTCCTCAAAAGAACCAACCCCACCGACAACTTGATCTTGAACTTCTAGCCTCTGGAACTGTGAGGCAATACATTTTTGTTGTTTCAGCCATCCCATTTGTGGTACTTTGTTACAGCAGCCCTGAGAAACAAACAAACCTACTAAACAGAATCTATTTTAACAACGTTTCCCAGGTGACCATTTCCCTATTAAAGTGTGGGAAGCACTGGTAAGAGCAAACACAATCGCCTTGTCTACCTCATAAAGCAAGAGAGGAGGAAAGGAGGAAGGAAGAGAGGAAAGAGAAAGGAGGGAAGAAGGAGGGAAAGCCCTAAAGGCATGAAAGAGATCAGACGCATCACTTAGAAGAGCATTTTTGGAGAAAAATCAACTTTAACTGTGGACTATAAACCTTCCTATTATGTTTGCCGAACTATCCGTTAAAGATCGATTACTTGTTTTATATTAACTTGGTGTCTAAAGCCCAATTGTTGGGGGGCAGAAGCAGAGGAGGGAGCATTAGTTACTCAAATAATGTCACTCTGGTAAAAAGATTTCTGAATTAAGTCCAGTGTGGAAAACATGTTGATTTAAATCCCAAGTAAAACTTTCTTCCAAAGTACACCCACAAATTTATATGGGGACAAATCAACATATTTTTAACATCTCTCAAAGCTGTCTCTCCTATCTGAATCACATGATCATTTCTGCCATGGCCTAAGTAGTTAGTGGACATGGCAGGTTGGTTTAAGCCCTATAATGAAACGGTCTGACCAGGTGGTAACATCAGCGGAGCATTGTAGGAAGAGCACCCAGTCAGGGTACAGCTGTGAGAAGACTTTGGAAATGGTCCTGGTCTGTCCCTTCCTCTCTCAAGAAGGGTCAGGAGTGGGAATAAGGCTTACAGTTTTAGGGAATTTTAAATCTACAATTTCCTTGATTTTTCTCCAGCAATTAAACATTTCTAATTGAAGTTCTAATCTGTGGGGAAATACTGTTTAAAAGATTTTGGGGATGTTGAAGTTGAGAAAAAGGGAGATCAATTCATTTAAAATTACATTTAAAGCATTTACAATTCATGAATTAAATAGTAGGAGAAGCTGTTGTAAATGAGCATAAGGGATTTCTCCCTTAGTCTTGATATGATTTCTAAAAATGTTTTTAAACTGATAATACTTCACAGGATTCCAAACTCAAAAGCTATAAAAGAAGGCGCAATGAAAAGTCTTCTGCCCCCTTCTGCCTTCAGTCATCCAGGAAGCAAACAACACCACCCAGTTTTTTGCTCTGTACAGAGCAAGGACTAGGGGACTAAATGGAACAAACCGGAACCCAGGGGGCTCACCTGGTCACTCCACCACGTCACTGCCACGTGAAGGCTGTAGTCACAGCAGACTTTGGGATCAGCCCAGCTTCGCCAGGTCTCGAAGGCCTCGATAAGGGAACCTCCTTTCTGAGGGATAGCGAAATCCATGGTCATGGTGGTGCCTCCTGCCAGAGCAGCCTGGAATCACAAGAGGGTTTCAACAGGTTCGCCATCAACTTTCTAGTTAGGTTGTTTATCACCTTGAACAACGTGCATTTGTAAGCACTTGGGCAAACTTGATGGATCCAGGAAATTGCACAAAGATGCTATTTAAAAGACCCAGAGGGATGTGAATAGGCTTTCCATAGATTAAAATTTGAAGCATTAAAACTGCTGGAATGGCTTCTGCACAAAGAATGACATATCTGGTAAGATGAAAATGGCTTGGACACAAAGAAAACAGAGTGAGGACTATAAAGAACAACCAAAATGGAAAAGTGGAAAAGTACAATCATTTTTCTTCTCAAGAAACTTTATTCCTTACTATGTAAAATTCCATTTTATTAGGCCCCCTCTTGGTAAACTGTATCTCCACTGCCCTGTGATCCGTGCAGTCCTGGGAGATTTACGTGGGCTGTGCCTCACCTCTATCCCCCGCAACCAGCTGGTGGCTCCTTAATCTGTCTTTGATTCACATCTGTCCCCTCTATCCGTTTCCACTGCTCTGATATGGGTTCAGATCCTCCTCATCTCTCACCTTGACAATTGTAACAGAGTCTTGATAGATCTGTAACTCTCCAGTTCTCCTCCCACCCACCCCCTCATTGCAATGAGAGGGATATTTCCAAAGCACAAATGTTCAGCATCATGTTTTCAAGCTTCATCCAGGTTGGAACATGTATAACCTCATTCCTTTTTATGACCAGATACTATTCCATTATATTCCACTTGACTCTTAAGATTAAAACTGAATGCTCTTACTGCCTCTGGAGAAAAGCTGCACCTTTCTAACATGGTCTGTACATCCTCATTCTGCCTCAACTCTCAATGTATCCATTGGCATATTATATGACATTACACTACAACTAATTTAAAAACTGCTACTAAATCAAAAGCCTTAGACTAATTATCTAAATTGAATTCATTTAAACTAAAATCATAGGGTGGTTCATCTGCTTTTAATTGCTGTGCTCAAACAATGTAGGTGAAGAAAACAAACACTAGACAGCACAGTGGCTTAGGGCGGGGACCCTGCAGGCTCATTGGCACAAGGCTCAGATTTAACACTTCGTAGCTGTGGCATCCTGAGCAGTTTCTTAACCTGTGTGTGCCTTTGATTCCTCCTCTGTAAAGTGAGGACGTAATTGCACCTATACCATAGGCCTGCTTGGAGAGCTGATCTATTTAAAGTCCGGAGGACAGAACTTGACCCATGGTACGTGCTTTCTGAGCCTCAGCTCATGATAAATCATAAGCTTTTGCACCATGATTTCAGAATTAGGAAGTTTTCCACCTTTGCTATATCATCTCACCTCATCACCAGAAATGTGGTCATGTGATAACACAGGAGGGGACAGTGTCACCAGCTTCATTCCCAGGCCCCTCTGACCACATCCCAGTCACATCCCTGTGCAGTCCCACAGTCTCCCAGATGCGTCAAATGCTCCCGTATCCTATCTGGGATGTTAGCTCTATTCTACCTTCTTTTTTTGCTTACTTCAAAAGATTTAAAAATTTTCCCTTATTTGGCCCTACTCCAATTCTTTTAGCTCTCAAAAATTTCATTTTTTGTACAGTATCCTGTACTTTGTCTTCACTTTTAAATAACATTGGCTTATTCTTGGCAAAAAAAATACATATTCGCATTTCTTAAGAAATTCCTATTTGTGTAATGACAATACTAGAAAAAGATTCTTCTGGGCTCTGTATTTTTATTTGAATACAGATTAATCTTCTTACCTTCTTCCTTCAAGTGTCTTCACAATATGACAGAGCCATCCCTTGAGGATGAAGGGCATTTTTCTAATAGAATGTGTTGTTAATTAAAGCATCAGAAGGAAGCACTTTCCTATTGTCTACTGAACTAGAAAATCAAACTTAAAGAACTATTCTTTCTACTTTTCCCTATTAAAAGTCACGTAGGGTGTGGTGAAAATATACACTACTGGTGGAAATATAAAGTGGTACAGCCACTTTGGAAAACAGCTTGGAGCTCCTCAGCTAAACATAAAGTTACCCTATGGCCCAGCAATTCCGAGTTACCATATGGCCCAGCAATTCCACTTTTAGGTATATATCCAAGAGAAATGAAAACGTGTCCACACAGAAAGTTGTACACAAATATTCAGAGCAGCATTTTCAATAATAACCAAAAAGTAGAAACAACCTGAATGTCCATCACCTAATGAGTGGATAAACAAAATGTGGTGGATTCATATAATGGAATAGTATCTGGTCATAAAAAGGAATGAGGTTATACATGCTCCAACCTGGATGAAGCTTGAAAACATGATGCTGAATGAAGACAGACACAGAAGATCACATACTGTATAATCCATTTACATGAAATGTGCAGAAGAGGCAAATCCATGGGGACAACAGGTAGAACATGGTTGCTGGGGACCTGGAGGGGAGGGGGAGAATCGAGGGTGAGCTAAGGGGTGCAGTGCTTCTTTTTGGGGTGATAAAAAGGTTTTGAAATTTTTGCAATGGTTGCACAACTCTGTGAATATACTGAAAACCACTACACTGTACACTTTACATGGCTGAATTGTACGTGAATTATATCTTACTAAAACTGTTATCAAATCCCCATACTGGCCAAAAGCCAAATAGTAAATAACTGAAATAAAACTGTTACACAAAAAAGTCTGCCACGCACAGACCACTACACGGAGTGAAGGGAATGGAAAGGTCACACAAACAACCAGACAAAGATTCTGCCCCTCAGGGTGCTTA